AAAAAAATCAAACAATTCAAGAAGGAAACAACAACCTTAGACAATCAGTCAAATACAAAAATTGAAATTGTGTTCGGCGCCAGAAAAGTAAACTATATATGTTTCCCTATCTAAATTTCCGTTATTGAAAAAACTCCGTTACATTTCGCAAAAAGCAATATGTTGGAAGTTTCTTATAATATCATTTAGTTGAAAATGTAAGAGAAAAGTCAATAATACTTGAAATGTATAAGTTATGAACTCTGAAAGCTGTATTTTTGTTAAAATATGCCGATGCACTGGCTCTAGTTAAAAAAATGTTACATTTTTCACACATTGAAAAAGTCTAAATTATTAAAAGTGTGATTTTCTTTAAAATTTATCATAGAAAATTTTAATTTTGATTTGTACATAACTAGAAATGTTACACTTACGTAACTGTTTTATGAAATTTCCGTTACAATTAAGAGGTTTTAATTGTTACAATTAAGAGGTTTTAATTGTAGTTGATTTTGTTTAAAAGCGAGTTCAATAAAGATCCGTTTAACATTTTTGCTTGTTTCTTATTTGCCAAATAAGTCTTAAGCCAAAACATAATTTGTCGTAGCTATTCCTGTGTAGTAATAATTAAATGTATTAGAAAATGATTCATAAACAAAAGAAAAAAGAAAATTAACACTTATTTAATTATTTTATTTAGGCAACGCCTTCATCAAATCAACATATTAATATGATAAAGTTCTAAGTTGTTTGCTGTTCATAATTATACTCTTAACAAAAGCAAAACTTAAAGGAATGTGAATGTGCAACATTTGTGTCATATGTACCCTCGAAAAAAGTGTCATATTATCGAAACGGACATTTATTTCAACAGTATTTTGCAAATTAGGTAGTGTTGTTTAACGTGCTATAATTAGAGAACCATTAAAGATATACAGAAATTTTGCATGCTTGTAAAGAAGATTTGGTCCTAGCATGTCTCAAATGATTTATACGTATTTTGTTTGATAAAATTTTCCCTAATCAATGAGGCCTTGTGCACCTAATAAGTGAGAAACCATGCAAACTACTAGTGGGATTTCAACCAAACTTCATGAAAACCAACAAAAAATAAATTACAAGTTTGTATCAGCCATTGCATATAATACATAAGCAAGTTTGAACAGTTATAGATATTTATCTGTAATTGAGATATACAACTGAAATGCAAAACTCCAATACAGAAGACAGAGTTTAAGAAAACGTGTTTCCAGTTGCAGAACTACAAGGACACGTTTACAGAGTAACTTGTTTAAAGTAACAAAAGTAGATTAACAAATTTAAACGATTTTAAGACATGCATGACGCCCCGCCCCTTTTTGACCGGGTATTTACGAACTTCTGTTACGGAAATGTGCGAAAGCGCCTCTACACTACTCAATAAAATGAATGAAAACAGGCCGCATTCTTCCTATTTCTTGTTGCATTTTTCCAACATTTTTATCACTAAGTCTACATACACCTCTTGAAAATTACATATTTTACCATTTGTTTAACACAAGATGATTAAAATGAATAATGTTACTTAATAAATAAATATCTTGTTATTTACCCCGTGTTTTCCTGAGAAATATCGGCGATTTGGACACTTTTAAGGGAAAATGACCAACTTCAAGCGAGTAATTGTATTCATAATCTGAAAACTATCTTATATTTGATTTGTATTCACACAAATTTCATTTTAAACAAAAACTATGCAATTATTTGAAAAATAAGATTTTAAAGCGTACGCGAAGATTTCCTTTCCGAAATCCAAAAGTGTTTTTTCCGTAACTCATATGAGCAATCTTATTTAAGGTATTTTTCAGTGTAAATAAATACTTTTTTTAAATACTTAAAGCTTATGGTCTTAATTTTCAAAACTGATTCACTTATAATGTATCTAAAGGGGCGACGTGATTTTCTTACCGAATATATGAATGTAGTTTAAGATAGAGAGAACAATAACACTTCTTGATGAAAGTAAATTATATCGTTTAACAATTATTAAACTTCCGTTTAAATTAACTTCCAAAATTTTCTTAGTACATTTAGAGAACAAAAAAGTGTCGGTTCTAGACTTTATGAGTAAAAAATCGTTTTTAATGGCCAGATCTGACTTCCTGTAATGATGTCCAGATGGGGAAGACTAAAATGTCGTATGAAGTAAACAACACATGTACGCACACCTTAACTGTCACAAAACATTTTCTCAAGTAGAACATTATCAGTTAGACATTTAAACCGATCTAATATAAGAAATGGATGGAAAACGAAACTGACACTATTTAACAGCAACAACAACAAAAACAAAAAAAAATAACAACAGTTCAAGATTACCAAATACTGCAGTTTTTTTTTTTGCAAAATCCTGATAGAGATTTGGAATTCTTTCAAACCAGGAAATTATCTAGCTGGCGAAGATGTAGCTGGTTTTACTGTGGTACGGGCTAGTTCCTAAAATAAGACATGGAGGTGCACCTGTCACAATCTACCAGTAAAGCTAGATAGACTATCACCATGTTAATGTGTGTTACCTTATAACCCAACAAAATATAAGTTAAAGGTATGTGCCAGTTAAAAGTGATTGCTTATACATAGAATAAAGATATGTAGAGAATTTGAGAACAAATAATTGAATTACGAGGGGCGTTCATTAAATTCGTAGACTATGCTTATAACTTTTTTGTTAGGCAAACATAATTAACAAAAAATACATGACCGGAAACGGCAATTAAATACACACTTGTACATGAAATTTCAACCGCGTTTGACAAACTGTCTGTACTTGGCGGCGCATTCAGGCAATTCCACCCGACTGTTAGCGTCCCAGGTCACGATGGTGTTTCCCGACGTCAGCGACGTCACTGGTGTCGTACATCGCTCATAACATATCAAAGTAGTGTCCATTACATTCAATACATCTCTGTTACCATGGTTATGAAAATGGCTGTCAGTCTTAAAGCTTGGTTATTTATCAATTTGAATTTTCATTGTTTTGAAAGGAATAACAACGCTCTATATATATATTGAACGCCCCTCGTATATTTCAATTGACAATTAGACTCTTGTTGAAACTAACATTTACTTTAATTTAAACACCGGTGGAATAGAAACACCCGAGACATACATGCTACAAGAATGATAGAAATTTTGGATGTTTTTGTTTTTTTACGGTATTTGATGTAATGCCAGATATGACTAAATATCCACGGATATGACCGCACCTACGGATAGGGGCATTTTAAAAAAGCTTTTTATATTATTTTTTTGGCTGTGATAATTAATAATAAATTAAAGTTTTATAATAATGTTTATGCAAAATAATTTTCTTAATTGACCCATTATTTCAATAAAAATGGTGTGAGATTTTGCGTTATATTTGGTGACAGAAGATAAACAAGTTTGACAACTTAAAGTTGATGGACCACTTATAGTTTCTGATGAACCACTTATAGTTGATGAAACCATTTATAGTTTATGGATTTCATTTATAACACATAACACAGCAGTAGCAAAATGTTTCACCTTAATCATCTTAAATTTCAGTTAATTACCGAATGTAAAATATAAATGTTATACAGTACTTTTTTCTTTCCACTTTTGCTATATTTTTTAATTCACATATTTGACGTTTCTAAAAAAACTAATGCAACAAGTTTTAGTTAAAAAAAAAGAATCTTTAACACAACAACAACAAAACGCAACATGTCTCTTTTTTCACAAAATCAGAGATAGAATGTATACTTCAATAACTCTATCTCAGTTGCCCTAAATTCATTAACCCTGTCATTATTCATGAACTTTCACTAGGAAGTTCAAACGGACACAAACCTAAGTATGCATACGTGACATCCAAAATGTATCAAGTGTTCAAAGAATAACACAATGGGAAAAATTATTTCTATTTAAAATGGGTACAAGGTCCGAAGAATTATGAATAACTGAATAACAATGTTCAATCAACTAAGTACTTCAACCATATATAAACTTTGTATGTTTGTATCCTGTATTTGAGCACTGAATGAATAAATTTTGATTTGATTTAATTTTAATAAAAAACCGGGAATATTTTGATAATTTGGATGTAGTTATGGAGTTAAACAATCATTACGGGGGATTCAGACACAGCAAAGGAAATTTATACTGATATTGCGTCGGAATATTATTAGGACTAAACAAGACAGAATTTTATGATGCTCTTCAACACAAGGTACAGGGGAGCATGCAGATAAAAAACGACACCGTCAGCCTAAAGAAGTGTACACCACTTTTGTTATGGTGGTACCCTAGTAAATTCAATTTTGATTGGACTGTTGATAATTGCAGTATCTGTTTTCTTTATACATGAGTACAAACGTTTCAAAGGCTTCAAAATAGTAAAGGTCAGTACTGAAGATTTTCTTTATAGAACTTGATGCAAGTCTGTTTGGATGATAACAGCTATATTAAACAAATAAGAATATAATCTTTATTTATTTTTTTATGGCTTAATAATAAGAACATCAGGCAAATATAGTACAAAACCTATTGTTTTTTGTTTGTGTTATATTGTTTAAAATTAGTACCCCCAATATTATAACTTTACTCATATTTACCGGATGTTGACGGATATGACCGAAAGCCGATATCGTATCGGTTCTTGAAACTCAGAATAACTTTTTTTGCTGAGACAGCGATAAATATAATTTATCAACTGGTTCTGATTTCTTTGACTGATTTTATTCTATTCATTAATATTATCTGGATAAAAAAAAGTCAAATATAATTCTACACAAAATAATTCGTAAAAATGAGCAGCAGTACGGGGCAAGTGATTTGAAGTCGACAATCTTAACCACTCGACCATGGAGCCCCCCTCAAGAGACAGTTAATTCGCTTTTTAAGAACAACATTATTATATGTTCCGCAAGCAATAGTGATTGATTTAACTTTTGAAGGGGCAACGGTAACTGGTATTTGGAAAAACTGGTCAGTTTGGCGCCTTGCAACGCAAATGTGGACAAGGATTCAAATGGAGGATTCGAACATGCACAAAGCGTTTCGCCGAAAGATAATGGCTTTGACTGTAACGGTAATGGTACAGAAACAGTTCAGTGTCAAAACAGCGAGTGCTCTGGTAAGTCGCCTTATACAATGTTTTCTATTTGTAAAAAAAATATTATTTAATCGTGTGAAAATGATAAACAAATTGATAATTACATGTTCAACATTGGCGTTGAATCATTATAAAAGGTCATAAATAGATATGACATGTAAATCTAATTACATAAGCAAAGTTACGCCACATATAAAAAAAATTCCAGAGAGGTGTTTTGTTCGGCACCTGGCCAGAATTGCAATGGATATAGCTCCAAAAAAAAGAGGGCTGCATATATCACGATGCTCTATTTTGACGGATGAAGCGTCCCATACTTCTGATGATTTATAAATATGAAATAAATATTTTGGCACATGCTTTCTTGTTACATATATTACAAACATTAATTGAGTAATTTTAACATTGTACTTTTAGCATAGGTAATTCATCGTCATTATCATCATCATCATGTCGAATTTGTAAAAACATGTATTCAAACGTTATATGTTTTATAAAAAATACTTAAGGCCCACAATGTCTCAGAAACGCTAAAATTATTATTTTACAAAAGCATTTTTTGTATCTTATTACAGTTTTTTGTTTAAGATAAAACTTAATAGCCATATTCATGAACTCTTTACCTGCTCCTTTTGCGTCCATTGGCAATATTTTGTATGGAAGTCAAAATACAACTTTTGCTTTCATTTTTTCTACCTTTGTAACGACATTGGTTAGAACGTCATAATACTGATAATGAGCATAATGATATGCCAAAAACTAAAGTTGTAAATTAACATAAGGGAATGTTTCCAATATATAAGGGCACAAACCACTCTTGGTGGTGAGCTAGGTTTTAACAGGCATTGTTTGTGTGCCTTAAACCGATACATTTGGTGGAAGCGGTGGGATGATGTAGACAACATCCGGACTGGAGTTGCCGTACCAAATGATTTCCATTTGCCAAGTCTCGGCACGAAACTTCTCGGAGGAAAAAAGTAGTGTAACGACGTTGGTCGAAACGTCATAATACCGATAATGAGCAATAACAAGTTTGTGTCTTTAAAAAAGAAACATGCGAGATGTCTTTTTGCAGTTGAAGATTTGTTAAAAAATTTTCAAAAGAAAGAACTTCTGACTGGTAGAATTGTATCTGCTAACAATAAAAACATATCGGCTATTTCCGTCAATCTCTGGATAAGCTTAAATAAATGAATAATAGGCGAAGTGTTCCGAAGTTAAATATAAATTGATACATTATTTTGAAATATTCTAAACTAGCTTTCTCATGTATTTCTGTTAACTCATCTAGAGACTTATCACTAATATTTACAATTTGTGATTTAACGCTTAGATTTTATACTTTTGGCACCATAACAGGGTTGACTACATTGATTGTTTTATTACTTATGTAAATCGTTTACTCTTTATCAGCGGATCTGCAGAAAACTTGTGACAACTCTAAGCCCAAAAATTTGATAAGCTTGAACACGCACAGAGACAGATTCAGACAGAAGTTGTCCAAAATTTGACGAACATTTTTAAATAAAGCAAGTAAGTACACTGCTCTTTATATGTATCAATCAATATTCTTACTTTAGAAATTACATAGATTTGCTCAAAATTATCTTAACTATCAGTTGCATCAATATTATAAAAACACTTCAGTCACTTTCTATAAATAAATGGGTATAAAACTATGACGGTTTGCACTCTAATAAAAAGCAAAGAGGAAGCACGGTTGCACTCTAATAAAAAAGGAAAGAGGTAGTTATCAGATCTTTTTAATCTTGTATGGCAGACATTATTTTTGGGTGAACTTTTACATAAAAAAAGAAGAAACAACAACAACAAAAAACAAAAATAAAATTGTGTAAAAATGAATTGTTATAATTTTTCAATATCATTTTTGTAACGACATTGGTAGAACGTCAAATAATACTGATAATGAGCATAACAAGTTTATGTCTTAAAAAGAAACATGCGAGATGTTTTTGCAGCTGAATAATTTGTTAAAATTTTTTTCAAAAGTAGGAACTTCTGATTGGTCTTGTATCTGCGAACAATAAAAATATACCGGCTATTTCCGTCAAATCTCCGGTAAATCTCAAATAATGAATAATAGTCAAAGTGTTCCGAAGTTAAATATAAATTGATACATTATTTTTGAAAAATATTCTAAACTAGCTTTCTCATGTATTTCTGTTAACTCATCTAGGGACTTGTCACTAATGTACAATTTGTGATAAAACGCTTAGATTCAATACTTTTGAAAACAGAACAGGTTGACTACATTGATTGTTTTATTACTTTTGTAAAAACGTTTACTCTTTATCAGCGGATCTGCAGAAACTGATGACAACTCTAAGCCAAAAATTTGATAAGCTTGAACACACCCAGGGACAGATTCAGACAGAAGTTTGACCAAAAGTTGACGAGCATTTTAAGTAAAACAAGTAAGTACACTGCTCTTTATATGTATCAATCAATATTCTAACTTTAGAAATTACGTAGATTTGCTCAAAATTATCTTAACTATCAATTACATCAATATTATAAAAAAAAAAACACTTCAGCACTTTCTATAAAATAAATGGGTATAAAACTATGACGGTTGCACTCTAATAAAAAGCAAAAGAGGAAGCACGGTTGCACTCTAATAAAAAAGGAAAGAGGTAGTTATCAGATCTTTTTAATCTTGTATGGCAGACATTATTTTGGGTGAACTTTTACATAAAAAAAAAGAAGAAACAAACAAAAACAAAAATGAAATTCTGTAAAAATGACTTGTTATAATTTTTTTAATATCATTTTTCAGACGTGTTGGTCGGATTTGCAGTATCAAACCCAGATACGTCCTCCAGTTCTGCCCTTAAGTTCAAAAAACGTAATATACAATTCAGGAGACGGCTATAGTTTGTACTCAGGTGTGTTCACTTGTAGACATCCAGGACTCTACTTCTTCACGGCAACTATTTTCAGAAAGCTCAGGTGCACGTGAAAGCGCATGTAATTTTCATGTCAACGGCGTTTCCAAGTTAGCAGTGAACACTGGTAATGCTGCCAATGATGGTTTTCAGTCAGGATCAGGATCATTTGTTTATCGTTTAAATGCAGGAGATATTGTTGTCCTATCGAATTGCTTTAAACAAGCCTACATACACCAATATTCTTCTTTCACTGGATTTCGTGTTTCTTATTAAGTGGCCAGTCGCAGTCAATTATTTACAAGATGTATAATTTACACTTTTTTTCAAAAGGCGTTTAAAAGTTATATTATTAAACTTTACAATATTCTAGACATAAATACAAAAAATGTTTACAATTAATGTTCAACTTTTGTATCGGTTTTATACAACAACAACACCACCATCACCACCACCACTCAACAACTACAACAACAATTATGTTGTTTTTTATTATCTGAAGAAAAGTTTCACTTATATAATATTTTCATTAGTTGAAAAGTGATAATAAAGAGCTATACATATAGTTTTTGAATACCTTTAAATAAATCAATGTAAATATAAAGGAATTTTATTTTGTTTATTGAGACAGGTATCTGTCATTTTACATCAGATTTTGTCCAATGTAATCCGGCATCAAAACATTTTTAATAATAATTATCTAAAAACTGATCCTAACATTTGTGCAAAATTTAGAATTAATTTACCATGCTGATTTTAAATTATAATCATTTTTATTCGTTTTGCTATCCACTTTCACAAATTTCATAGTACAAAATATACATAAATATTTATTTCTTTTAATTACAAATTTTAGAAATAAAATAAAAAATAAAATATTAATTTGACAAAACTAAAAGAAGAAAAATATTATTTTTGCATCTTCTGGGGTTTGAACCCAAAATATGATGAACAAGATCAACAAGGAAATGCGGCGTTCAATGAACGCCACCCCCACCCGACCCAGTAACAGCCCTATTGAAAGTCTGTCCCCTAACTGAAAATGAGTACCCTTCAGAAAGGAGATACTGCATTAGGCATCCAATACCTTAAAAGACACCTCTTCAATTTTAAGTAGGAAATATTTAACATGCGTACATGTACACTTTAAGGGGCAAATAACTTAAAATTAATACCCTGGCCCCGTTTGGTTAAAAATTGTTTCAATCGTGATTAACTTCAATCTTATGAAGTTTACGTCTTAAAGGTTTTCTGAAGTATAATTATAATAAGAATCAATAACGTGTTTTGAAAACACAAATGCCCCCGGCTCAGATTTTTATCAGAAACAATTTTACCGAATCACTCAAATATGGACATAAAAATTGCCAATAAAAGTAAACACAGTTAAATAACTTGACAGAGTCATGACGTTCTGTTATTGTGAAAAAAATAAGTTGACATGTCATTGCTGTTTGATGAAGTTGAAAAAATATTCAATTTACAAATAAGAATTTATCAAATATATGTAAATGCATGACAATGACCTTCAACCCAGTGACCCCAAACATACCAAAATGAAAGACATTTATCAATAAATAAAGACTATATGGGCAAAAGACTAACTCAATCCAAAGGCAGAAGACGTTGCAAGTTATCTTCCTACCAAATATGAAAGAAATCTGTAAATGAATGAAAGCTGTATGATCAAAAGTGTAAACATCTTTTTTAGCATTGTTGACCTTAGCCTAACTGACCCATAACTCCTTAATCTAGTTGACTCCTTAGTCTATGTCCCTACCAAACATAAAGACATTTGTCATAAGAAAAAGGTTTCACTTGAAAACGCGTAAAAATCTTTTTTAGCAATGTAAACTTAACCCAACTTACCTCTAATACAATCCAAATGCATGTTTTCTGCCTACCAAATATGAAAGACATCTGTCAGTTAATAAAGGCTTTTGAGCAAAAAGTGTAAACAAGTATCTTAGCACTGGTGACCATGACTTACCTGACCCCTAACGCCATCATATGATAAATTAATTCTTTATTTATGTTTCCACCGAATTTAAAAAAGACATATGTCAAAAGAAAACCTGAATCTTCTCCCCTTACTGCACAAAAGTTAGAGGACCATCGGATGAATCTGGTATCCATATGTAATCATTATTGAATAATTGAAATTCAAGATAAATCGAACTTGCCGGAATAGGTTAACCAGACAAGGCACTATTTTAAAGTCGTAAAAAGAGAAATAACTGGGAAGAAATGGATGGCACAGTTATATAAATTGGCAATATCAATTCACATACTTTGTATTGATATGTAAGTGCGGATGTTATAAAGCTATTTGTACAGCAGAACGTAAGGTATATCCAACTTGCCAGTTTAAGTTACCCAAATCTTTTTAAAATGCTGAAAAAGAGCAATAACTTCGAAAGATCATCTACTTGATAAGAAAGTGTGTCAATTATAAAAAAGAGAAAAACAGAATCCCTAAAGAAAGTCCAACTCAACAGAATTGAAAATGTTGCAAGCTTGGTTTAATTGAGCCTGTTCATGGTAAAGCCATTAGTACAAGTAGAACTTGAGAAAATTTCAACATGCTGTTTAAGGTAAACCTCGTACGGATAGACGGACGGTTAAATTATCATATGCCTGGGGGCATAAAAAATGCATTTTATATTAACAATAATATCACAATTGAGAAATGTGTCAGTAAAGACTGTGATAGGTCCCATATATGAATAATAATAATAAAAATTAAAGATTAAAAAATATGTTTTCCAAGCCAATTCACATCGGTATTAAAATTTATACATTTGCATTGTTATAAGTCATTTTCTTTATAAGTTTAGGGAAGAAAAATAATTTTATTCTATTGAAAAAGATCTTTTCTTCCAAAAGTGGTATTAAGAAAAACCAGTTCGTTAATGTTATTAAAAAGTTATCAACTAACAATATTATGTTATTTTTTATTCACTTGTCACTTTTATATTTTTTAACAAAAGGTCTATATCGCTCATATTGGATCAACAGCTAAAATTGTTAAAACTGGTAATTGTTTAAATCAGCTGTTTGTTTGTTTGTTAGGTTGAACTTTAAAACACGCTGATAAGGCAAAAGTAATAATGTGAATTTTAGGCTCAACAGATTAGAAGGTAATTCGGTTGTCTCTTCGTGCTTTAAATTTTGGCACGAGCAGGCACCTAAGTAGAACCACTGATCTTCCGTACTTTAGCTGGATAGCTTCCCCTCATGAAAAATTCCCGAAGGGATTCAAACCAATAGTTGTTAAGGCCTCAACCACTCGCCGACGGAGGTATGTTATTAAATTACATTTGGGATGGGCAATTTTGCAATACGGCCATGATTCTTATAACTTGAGGAGAGGTATATTAAGCAATATTACATGCTGCTAAATTCCTAAGCTGTTGACCTTGATTGTACAAATACGAAGATTTAAATGATTCCTGTATAAGTCTTCGTAAACTGGCGAAGCTTATTTTGAACCAAGAGGTATACTTTGTCCACATGCAATATGCTACACTTTACTCTGTGCTGGGTAAAAAAGTCGAGCTAAATTGACGGGAAAGTGATACTTGGGAAACATCAAATCTGTAAGAAATGTATATTCTAAATATGTTTTCCTATCAACGTCTATATTGGCGTAGCCAATTCTAAACCTGGGATCATGGTTTGGTTACTTACTACATCATTTTGGATCTTCATATTACAGTCAATAACAATTCTTTTCGCAGGAACATCTATGATAAGAGACATGAGTTTTATTTTGGTATAGTAAATTATCCGATGTACCCCATGCATCATCTTAAGTGGCATAAGTATCTCAGTATATTAGATTCGTTAGACTTGTAGCCAAGGGCTACCAAAATCATGAATAACGGAAATATTTTATTGAATTTTATAAACGTAATTTCAATTAAAATTCAATAGCGATATAAGTTTTATTTTGCGACTAGGGCTTACTTGGCTTAATTTCTATAAAAATATGATCTACAAACTTCGTAAGATGATTTTGGGTCATGGCATTTCTGCTGACATTTCTAAAATATTTAAAAGTTTTGAGCCTACTATTTTGAGACATACCGCATGCTTAGTGTTCAACGCTTTTACAGTTGGACAATGCGTTTTGCTCTTTTGACTACATTTGACGGACCAAGCAAGAGATGATGGACAGTTCTTAAAATCCTTTTAGACTGTATTGTGTTTTATTTATTTCACCTTATGTAGGTATAACGACCGTTATAATTTTGCTTGACTGGATTCATTTTATTTACATTATGTCGTTTAAAACGAACAGGTTTTGGCTAGGCTTAAAGTGAGGTCTGTTGCACCATTAAACGGTTCCAAGGCAGCACCCCTCTACCTTCCCCAGGTGTATGTCTTTTATTTCTTCATGCTAATTATGGTGACACTTTTTGTGTCCTCTCTTGTTTTATTCGTCTGTGAAAAGTATCATCCCTTTTCCCTGATTTATTAAATTTCTATCCATCCTCCCTGTCCTGTGCCCCTGCCAATGTACACTAATCCTTTTGTTTGCCTTGAAAATTTTTGTCTTATTCAATGTGCTTGTAGTTTTCTATGACTGCCTATTTGTATTATTTATAGCGGCGCCCCGACACTCCCCGCCCCTGTAAGGCTCCTTTCTGGTTGTCCTGTTTTGCTGGGTTATGTGTGTATGCGTTCATTGAATGCCACCCTTCCGCGTTTATTTTCTTTATTGAATTGTTTATAATCAATAATCACGCCCTGTTATAATCAATAATCACGCCCTGCCCTTGCTTTGTTTTAACATTTTGTAGAGGACCACAAGGTAATGTCATTTCCCCCAGAAAGCTATGCTATGATAAACCAGGCAATTTTGAAACATGACTATATAAATTTTTGTCATCTAACCTACCCCAAGGCCGGGCCAGGGGTATGTTATAAATAACTTTTATTGAAGTTTATTAGGCAAAACTAAATGTACAATAAAATGTATATGCAAATGATCTAATGCCTGCCATTTATTTTTACACAAGGAAACGTAAATGTGTTTTCTACATTAATCCATGTAAACTAATTTACTCTCGGGGGTGCAAATTTTGACATTGAGAGGCCTGATCAATAAGTTTTGTACAAGAGCACAATCCGATGCATCAAGCCAAATATCTTAGCTTTTGGAACTTCTCTTTTCTTTGGGCATAATTTATAAAACTAGTATAGACGACCACAATTTATGCCCAAAAATAGAACATGAAACTTTCAGAGGAGAAAACAATTCAAGACATAAACAATTCTATGTAAACTAAGGACCATTGAAGCGGGTATGATTTATCACAAATATTTTACAGAAGTCTAAGACAAAGATACATGTAAAATGTTTAAGCCTTAACAACTTGAGCTTCACACAAGAAATCTTAAATTCATATCAGATTGCTATTGTATCATTGTTTGCGGACCTTTTGTTAAGAAATGTGCCAGAGTAAAATCGTATGCATATACATGCACAGTGCGTTAACTGGTGTGCAGGTATTAGTAATACCCCACTCCAGAGCATGCACATTGATTGGCTCATTTTTGCTGGGGTTTACTTATTGTGACGGCAAAGAAGGGGAAAGA